ATGGCTAACAACATTGGATCTAGAGATCCAATGCTCTCTTCTGGCTTCCACAGGCATTGCACACACATGGTGCACTTAATATATGCTGGCAAAACATTTACACACATAAAAATATTTTTAGGCTGGGCATGGTGGCGCACACCTTTAATCCCAGCACTCAGGAGGCAGAGGCAGGCAGATCTCTGTGAGTTCAAGGCCAGTCTGGTCTACATAGTGAGTTCCAGGAGAGCTGGGGCTACAGGGAGACCCTGTTTCAAAAAGACCAAAAATAAAATAAAATAAAATATTTTTAAAATAAACCAAATGATCCTGGCAGGTTCCCTGACCACACATCCAAGGTGTCAGTAACTTCTTTATAAGCAACTATGAGACGGTCTGAGGAAAAAGCATGAACTAAAGAGTGAATGTTAAAACTTGTACCCAGGACTTGCTGGACTGGAAAATAACTATTACTTGTGGTAGCTTCTTCAGATGGCAAAAGACTATCAAAGAAAACAGCATCGGGGCCTAGAGAGATGGTTCAGTGGGTAAGAGCACTTACTCTGCAAGCATGATAACCTGAGTTTGAATCCCCAGCACCCACATAAAAAACCGGGCATTGGGCGATGGAAACAGGTAGATCATGAGATCTCACTGAACAATCAGCCTAACCAAAATGGTAAACTTCCATTTTAGTGAGAGACCCTCTCTCAAGGCCTTAAGGCAGAGAGATTCAGAGAGAAAGACACCAGATAGCCTATTCTGGTCTCAAGTGTGCACATGGCACGCACACCCACACAACTCACATGCATGCAGCACACATATACCTCCCCCCAACAAATGAAAACAGTATGGGAACAAAGACCAAATCCAGAGCACTGATAATCAAGTAGGGACTCACAATCACCAAATAAAGAATGTATCTTTTAAGCTCCTTTCTTAAGATCTCCAAAACATTTAAGGCCAAGTTTACACAGCCTCTCAGGCTAAAAAGATTCTAAAGAAAGTTACCTAGTCAACTCTAACTTGAGGGCCAAAGTAGAGAGAAGCCAGTCTCAAAAAGAAATCATAAGGTCTTTTTTTTTTTTCCTAATGGAGCACACACCTATCATCAGATAATACAGAAACTCCACAAAGTATTTAAAAGAATTTGATCAGACTCAACTATAAGAAACATTGTTCTAATTATATGAGGCCTCTGTTTTCAAACTGACACACTGTGAACCAAATGAAGACTGCTACAAACCAGGCCTTATTTTTTCCCTCTTATTTGTTGTTGCTTTGGTTTTTGTTTTGTTTGGTTTTTGTGGTTTGTGTGTATGGTTTTTAGAGTTTGTTGTTGTTGTTGGGGGAGGAATAGTTATTGCCGGTATCTTGTTTTTATTCTCTGGTTTTGGGTTTTTTGTTTTTTGTTCTTTGTGGGTGTGTATGTGGGTAGTGTTTTAGAAAGGGTTTTCACTCTACTGCCAGGCTGGCCTTGAACTCACAGTGAGCCTCCCTCTTCAAGTTTCACAAATGCTGGGATTACAGGCATATGCCAAGAAGCTCTGTTCTGAGGTTACAGGTCAGCACTGCTATGAACTAGTCTATTTCATGATGCTTCCTGCTTCCCGCTGTTTCAATCTCCCATGAGTATCTACTGTAGTCAGCTATCCCCATTCTCAAAAAAGACCTTTTTGTTAATCTTTAAAGTCAGTAAACAAAGCATCATAGGGCATTTATATACATGTATGTATATGTCATTGTACTTGTTCTAAGTTATCAAAAACTTTGCTTTTTAGTAAAGTTTCATATAGTATTTATATATTATATGTCCGTGTCACTACTTTGTTCTAAGTTGTCAACAAAAATTGCTTTCTTATTTTTGAGGGTGTGTGCATGTGCGTGTGCATCTGTGTGTGTGTGTGTGTGTGTGTGTGAATATGCATATGCATGTGGAAGTCAAAGGACAATTCTCAGAATTCAGTTTTCTCCTGCCAACTTGTGAGATCCTAAGATTAAACTCAGGACATTTGGCCTATGCACAAACACCTCTACTCACTGAACCATCACACTTGCCCTAACTCATCAAATTTTTATACTAAGATATAGGAGGACTGGGGTAGAGGTTCAGTTTGGAGGAAAAAAGAGTAACTTGTCTACTTTGTTCACAGTAGTCCTCATAAAAGGACTCATTCTCAAAGCTTCATTCACATGCTAATTTGATGCAGAACTATGGACACTGAGCCAGAAATCATTACTGAAAGAGTTGTCTGGGCATCTTGAGAGGCCTGGGTATATAATACAGAGACATGAACTGACCACCAGAGGTAGAATAGTAGTAGACCATCCACAAATATGGTTGCTAACAATTCCTCCTATTCCTATAGACACATGCTTCTTCTCCTCCATCAATAAAGAAAATCCTTACCTTCTTCCTTTGTATCTTGCCTGAAGTGGAGATTTTATTCCCTTTTAAAAAGCAGAATTTGGGCAGCTACAGAGATGGCTCAGTGGTTAAGAGCACTGGCTGTTATTGCAGAGGACCCAGGTTCAATTCCCAGCACCCACATGAAGGATAATTCCAGTTCTAGGAGATCTAACGCCCTCTTCTGACCTCTACGAGTACTGTATGACATGGATGCATGTACACGCATGTACATGCAAGCAATAATCTTGTACAAATAAAATAACAATTAAATTAAAAAAAAAAAAAGCAGAATTTTCAGGGCGTGGTGGTCCACGCCTTTAGTCCCAGCACTCAGGAGGCAGAGGCAAGTGGATCTCTGTGAGGTTCAGGCCAGCCTGGTCTACATAGTGAATTCCAGGCCAGCTGGGGAGACCCTGTCTCAAAAAGATAAGGAAAAAAAAAGCAGAATTTGTGGGAAATGGAATTATGTAGTTTCAGGAAGCCAGAAGTAAAGTCAGAACCATCTAAGTGAGATCATCTTGATCCACTATCCCATCTGAGCCACATTAGGTAGACTAGGCAATAGTGTTCCCTGCCCTAAGTTCTAACCCCAAAATTATAAACAATACAACAGTTATGACTAAGCCAAGTGTGATAGTACACCTCTTCAATCCCAGCACTCAGGAAGCAGAATCACGTGTCTCTCGGAGAGTTCTAGGCTGGCCTGGTATAGAGTTGAATTCTAGGCCAGCCAGAGCTACACAGTAAGACCCTATCTCAAAAACAAAAAACAATCAAACAAAAAAAAAAAATGTGACCTTAAGCCATTCAAATCTGGAATAATTCAGTACTCATTAATAGATAGTTGATACATATAATGAATATGAACAAATGCTTACTGGTTACAACCTAGAAGAGGTGCTAGGGATCCTAACGAAATGCGAGAATAGTTTATTCAATACTGCTTAAAAGGGGAAGTTATGAATAGGAATTGTGTTTGTTGGTTTCTAATGTTATCTGTTTAGTAGTTATACTGCAATTAAGTCTCAAGATAAAATATGAAAACTTTACAGCAAATGACATAAAAATTATAATCTTTTGTGGTTGAATGGGAAGTTCTGTTTATACCAACAAACCAAAAGTGAAGATTTTTTTTTCACTCAATAATTAGAATGTAATAAAAGACAGTTAGGTGTGATGGTATACACCTATGATCCTAGCACTCAGGAAGCTGAGGCTGGAGGACTCCAAGTCAAGGCCAGCATGGGGTACAAAATAAGTTCCAGGCCAGTGTGGCACATAAAGTAAACTCTGTCTCCAAAACAAAAAAGGACCTAAAATTATGATTTAATATTACACAGATTTTTTTAAACATATTCGGGTTTCTGTAATTCTTCATGGTTACTGTAAACAGGTTTGAACAATAAAAGTCAATAGAACTTCAAACGCAAAATACAAAAAGATCACAATAATGGGTAAAACTAACGAGAACAAATTACATAGAAACAACTGAGGAGTCAGTCATTCATACTTAGTCAGCATATTCTGAGTGCTGAAGCTCATACCTATAATCCCAACATTTGGGAGACTGAAACAGGCAGATTGCCCTAAATTCAAGGTCAGCCTACACGACACAGAGACCCTGTCTCAAAGAAACAAAAACAAAACCCTAACAGACAAAATTCTGAGAGGAGAAAATAATTCATTATAACATTGAAAAGCCTTGGTCTTCAGCTGATTATAAGTATACTAGACAAGAATAACCAATAATGAGTATAAAATTAATGCAACTTTAGATCTCATTAACAAATATTAATAACAAATACTGAGCAACTATAATACACTATGTACTTGAATAAGAGAATACAGTAAACAGATCACAGGGAAGAATATTCTCAGTATATTTAGAGCTAGTCAAATTGTATATGAAATACTAAGTATAGATTAAAAAAAGAGAAATTGACCTACAAAAGAGAATTTTTAATTCAAATGTTACATTAAAAGAAGAAAATACAGAAGACAATTTTTTCATTTTACCAAATAAATCTTATGTGTTAGGCAAAATAATGAACACTACAGTATATGATAGAGAGCAAAATAGACACTGCCCTTTCTCTTATTCTGCTTAGCATCTAGTAAATACCCTCATCATAGGAACACCTGCAGCAAGTACATCATCATCATCATCATCATCATCATCATCATCATCATCATGTTAAGTATACTACAGAAGAATCCCATGTGCCTTTACATAATTTTGAAATAAATTACTTCCAAGACTATTTCAAAATTTTAAATCTATACTTAATTATGGCACTATACACAAAAAATTTAACTATTCCTGCAAAATAAATTATATATTTATTGGCTATTTATTTATTTATTGGCAAACCAAGGTTCATATACCCAAACACACACGTGGGTTTGTTGTTGTTTTAATTTCCACCTAAAAACTTAATCAGGTCAATCCATATGTTCATAAGCAACTAATTAGAATCAGCATCAATCATCATAATTTCAAATAACAAGAAAATTTTAATCTCCTTGCTTTATCATCTTAACCTAGATAAAATAATTCCAAAGAAATTAGTATCTATGACTTTTCTAATATTTCTTGTATTAATCAATATACCTTTCCATGGCTTTAGCTGTATAAGGCAAATGCATTTCAATACTGTGTTCATCTTCATCTGTCTGCAGAGACATTCGTTCAAACATTCCTGTCTTCCATAGCTCTCCATAAACTAAAGAGATTTCAAAATATATTAAAACAAGTACATTAATGTATATATATTTATCATATGAGATGTATGAAGTAACACAAAACTATAAGCTATGGCATGGACACAAAAGCACCACACACTAATCTACTTTGATTTTATTATAAAAGAGAGAACAACTAATTTTATTACATGAAATAATGTACATAAAGACTTATTCATCATTTATGTGACACAATTATTAAAAATGTACAATTTTCATTATTCTAAAATAACTTCTATGTCAAGCTGTTCTTTTTATTTTAAGCTGTACATACTAGCAAAAGCAGCTCATTAGAATTCCTATAACAGAAAAATCACTTGTCTGTTTACACATAAGGTTAATAACAGATTTAATAATTTTTATAATAAAATGTATAGTATTATTACTTCATACTTCACGTTTCTGCCATGCCCCAAACATAAAATTCTCTCTTACAAAATGCTATTTTTCCTAAATTCAAACAAGTTCATGGCAGAAATCACAAATTCATCACCGATCATGTCAACTTAAAATGATCTAGTAATTCAGTCACTTCTGATAAGCTATACTTAAAGATTGCAAGGCAAGAAAGACATGAAATTTAGTATGTAAAAACAACACAGTATACAAATATTTTAGAGGCAGGTCTAGTGGCACACAATTATATTACCAGACTGAGGCATGAGAATCACAAGTTCAAGACCAACCTGGGATATAGACAAAGTTCAAAGTCAGGAGGGAGATGGAGGAGCAGGGAGGGGGAGGAGTATGGGGGTAATTTTTAAGTAGATTCTTAGCTAGGTAGTATATAAATGCAAAAAGACAAAGAAGGGGTAGTAAGACCTCATTTGTACAAAATAATACCTTGCCAGGCATGGTCACACACGCCTTTAATCCCAGGACTTGAGAGGCAGAGGCAGGCAAATCTCTGTGAGTTCCAGGCCAGTCTGGTCTACATAGTGAGTTCTAGGCCAGCTGGGGCTACAGGGAGGCCCTGTCTCAAAACGACCCCCCGCCCCAAAAAAAAGCCTTTTTAAAAATTATCCTTTTCTTCACTGGAAGCTATGAAAAACTACAATTTTGTAAATGTACCAAAGTTTTAAGTGAATTGTATCCCATAAAGCCAAATTCTACTTTCACTAAAATTCATTTTAATAACAAATTGCTACTATTCTATGATACAACCTCAAATTATGAAAACTGAGGCCCAGAATAAGGGGAAAGAGCTAAACACTTCTTTTACAAATTAAATCTTTCATTTTACAGAAAAAAATATTGCAAATTTTAATGAAACAATCCTTAACAATACTAAAATATAACTTAATGAAATAAAGGATATATAGGATATATATACTCCTAAGTCCATGTAGGTAGTTATTTTTTTTAACTATTTTTATGTTATGTGTATGTGTTATGCCTGCATGTATGTAAATGGACCCATGTCATGCAGTGCCTGAGGAAGACAGAAAGGACAGAAGAACACATCAGATCCCCTGGAACTGGAGCTACAAACAGTTGTTAGCCACCATGTGAATACTGGGATTTGAACCTGGGTCTTCTGAAAGAGCAGTCAGTGCTGTTAACCACTGAACCATCTTTCCAGTCCTGAAGGTGATTATTATGTAAAAGAATAACTGAGCTTAGGATAAGGGAAAATACTGTAGATGATGAGTATTTTTTATTCTCTTCTCTACACTGTTCCGTTTTTGTTATATTTATTATATAATAAACAACTAAGGGCCAGGAGTGGTGGCACATGCCTTTAATCCCAGCACTTGGTACCTGGGAGGTAGAGGCAGGAAGAGCTCTGTGAGTCCAAGGCCAGCCTGGTCTACGTAGGAAGTTCCAGGCCAGCTGGGGCTACAGAGAGACCCTGTATCAAAAAGGAAAAAAAAAAAAAGGTTTTAACATGGTGGTGCATGCTTTTAAAGCCAGTACTGGAGAGGCACAGACAGGTAGATCCCTAGGGCTGTTTGGCCAGCCAGCTGGCCTAGCACTCTTTACAGGTGTCAGGCCAGTGAAAAGACACTGCAACATAAAGGAAGGAAGGGGAAAGGAAGGAAGGGGAAAGGGAGATGGAGCGCGGGAGGGAAAGGGATGGTACCTAAAGAATACTACCAGAAGTTCTTCTCTGGCCTCTATTCATAGCATACACACATATACGTGCACCTGCTCACAGAAGAACACCACACAACCATGAGAGAAGATGGGGAGGAAAGGGGTCGGGAAGGGAGAGGATGGGAGGGGATAAGACCACCAAAAACAAGGAAGAAAATCAAAATGATAGACATGGGGACCAGGGAGATGTCTCAGCAGGTAAAATGCTTGCCACACAAGCACGAGAACCAGACTGGATCCCCAGAGCCCATGTAAAAAGCTGGGAGGGTGCACCTGAAGAGATGGCTCAGCAGTTAAGAGCACTTGCTGTTCTTGCAGAGGACCTGGGCCTCATTCCCAGCACCCATATGGTGACTAAAAATAGTCCATAACTCCAAGTCCAAGGTATCTGACACCCTCTTCTGGTTTCTTCAGGCATTGCATGCATGAAGTGCACATAAATGCAAGAAAAATATTCATACACATAAAATATTTTTTAAAAAAAAAAAAAAAAGCTGGGTTGGTATGGTGGCCTGGCTGCTATCCCAACACACAGGGTGCAGAGACAAGAAATCCTCAGAGCAAGCTGTCTAGCCAGACTGGCCAAAACAGCAAACTCTAAAGTCAACAAGAGACACCACCTAAACAAATCTGGTAGAGAATGATCAAGAAAGACACCAGACATCAACTTCAGGCCTCCACATGGCACACACACACACACACACACACACACACTTCATATACACATATGCCCACAGACATGTGAACACACACACCACACATACATACATACATACATACGTAAAATATAAAGACATGTTTAAAAGTAAAATATATTTAGGATTTCTATAATAGGGCTGGTCAGATGGCTCAGCAGTTACAAGCACTGACTGCTCTTGCAGAGGACCCAGGTTCAATTCCCAGCACCCACGTGGTGGCTACGAACCATCCTAAACTCCAGTTCCAGGGGAAGCCAAAGCCCTCTTCTGACTTCCACAGCATTACACGACACAGATGCACTCACATACATGCAGGCAATACACTCACACATAAAATAAAAATAATAAATATTTTTTAAAAGATTTCTATACCTTTCAGAGCCTCACAAACCATAGAATAATTTTTCCCATAAAAGTTATTTAAGAGAAAATGAAGGTACAAACAAATGAAGTGAAACAAATAAAGAGTTAACATGTTCAATGTCTTGCATTAAGTTGGTATGAATCCTCATTTTTATTCTCAAGATACAATACATATATGGCACTTCCCTGAGTATGAATGCAAACATTATAGTCTGGACAGACATGTAGCTAACAGTTTTTGTAGTTAGCAGGAAAACACTAGTAGTGTTTAGGAATATATAATACTTTCCTTCTTTTGGTTTGGTTTATGTAGATCACAACAAAAATTTTTAATTGAGATATTTATATTAATAAATTTTTTAAGTTTTTAAATTATAGTCTTTATTAAAAGAGCTTCAGCGATTTATATGCTATATGATTTCTACATACTTACTCTTTTGGTCAATACGGAGGTCATACAGAGGTGTCCTATATATATCCACACTGGAAAGTGCACATCGAGAGAGGGGCACATGATGGGAAGGCCCAAGGATGAAAATTCTCCGGCTAGGAGACACACAACAAAAAACACAGAACAATTGTACTTCTAGACAAATCTTAAGGAAAAGTAATTTTTTAATTGCTTGTTTTTCCTTCCTGACTACTTTTATTAACTTCTGTGAACATAAGAACTAAACTATGTCCTCCCCAAAATTCACATACTAAGCCCCAATCATCCAGTACCTAGCTATAAAAGCAGATTTGAAGACATTTTTTTATAGTGTTAATGGAGTTAAAATGAGGTCCTAATCAATGTGACTGATGTACTTATACAAAAAGACTTCAAAGCCAGAAGCAGTTCCCTACATAATCCCAGTACTTGTGGAAGCTGAAGCAGGAAGATTTCTGGGAGTTTAAAGCTAGCCTGGGCTACCTACATAGAGAGAGAATTCTAGACAGCCAGGACTACAGACCCTGTCTCCATGGGGAAGGGGAGGGAGACCATGACTGTGGGGACATGTCTCATTGAGGGATAGTCATGCAGTAAGAGGGACCAAAAAGAGAAGCTTCAAAGAAGCCAGTCCTACCAGCACCTTAACGCTGGACTGTAGCTTCCCAGAGCTGAAAAAAATAAAATTCCTTCTGCTAAAGTCAGAGTCCTTGGAATTCTGTTACAGCAACACTAGACTGATAATCTGATCCTCAGTTTTCTTTTCATTTATTTTCTTTTTTTTTTTAGAAATTTATTTTTGTGTTGTTTTAATGGCCAGTATCTATACTGGTATGTGTGTCATGCCACAAAGGCTGGAAGTGGATGGCAGAGCCACCATGTTGTGGCTGCTATGAGTCGAACCCAGGTCCTCTGGGAGAACAGCAAGTGCTCTGATGCCGAGTCACTTCTCCATTCCCTCACTTTTAATTTCAATTCACAGTCAATACTAGGAAATACCAGCTACCCATTTTTACAAAAAACATGCTACTTATAAAATCTATATTCATAGTAGCTAGAACAGGTTTTCAAAAGCTGAATGAATTTTAAACATTTTAGCTAGTAAAATCCCAAATTCGAAAATCTTCTAAGATCCACCAAAATTTTAATAAAAGTATCAGTACAAACTTCTAAAGATCCACACAAAATAGCATTACAAAAAGGCATTCTGATTAAGCTATTCCATATTTCTTCTATGGTAACAGAAAAAAAATGAAGTCTTGCTAGAAATTCTACATTATATACTTTCTCTATTTTAAGTACAAATACAAAGAAACTTGATGCCATGCTATTTGCACTACAGTGTATGTAGGCTAAACAGTAGCTGCAATCTTTACAATCCTTTTTTTGGTCTTTTTGAGACAGGGTCTCCCTGTAGCCCCAGCTGGCCTTGAACTCACAGAGATCCGCCTGCCTCTGCCTCCCGGGTGCTGGGACTAAACACACCACGTCTGGCTTTACAATCCCTTTTATCTTAGCATCAAAGTAAAATTAACTTCTTATCATTTCATCTCAAACATCCAAATCTGCCCTACAATCTAAGTTCTAAAACTATCATTTTCTCTGGTCTCTAAGATTCCTATGAACCAATATTCCCACATATATAAACAAAAAGAAAGTAAAAGACCCCCCCCAAAAAAAAATGCAAGACTATGAGAAAGGAGGAAATATGACAGGCTCTGTGCCTAGAAAAGTACATGCTACTCATTGCTTACTTAGTGGACAAAAACAAAGATGATCTAGTTCTTTCATTGTCAGATTTTCAGGACAAGGAATGTGTGCCTGAGCAATGCATTTCAATAAAATTCTACTACTGTATCTGGTGTGATGGTGCTCACCTACAACCCCAGCCCTGAGGAGTCTGAGGAGGAAGGATCCAGGCTGACTGGGAATTCAAGGAAAGCCTAGACTACATAATCAGACCTTATTACTAACAAATCAAAACCTATGACTAAGGTAAGAAAATTAATCTTACCCCCTCCACCCCCCAGCCCTAGACACACATACAGTTCACTTCAAAGTTGGGGAGGGAAGCAGACGTTAAGAAGTTGTGGATAGGGCCAGAAGAGATGGCTCAGCAGCCAAGAGCTCTTCCAGAAGACTCAGGTTCTGTTTCCAGTAACCATATAGTAACTAACAACCATCCCATTACTCCAGTTCCAGGGAATCTTTCTGGAGTCTTGTGCAAAACAGTTCAAAACACTCACACACATATAATAAAAATTAATTTTTTTAAAGTTGTGTATAAGTTATTTTCAGAGTTCCAAGCTTTGAAAAGGTCACACAGGAAGATATTTCATCCTGAGGCCCTCTGATAGGTATCAGAAATAATTTTTTCTACCCTCTCCCCCATGTTATTAGCACCATAATCCACAATTCTTTTTTTTTTTTTTTTTTTTTTTTTTTGAGACAGGGTCTCTCTCCTGTAGCCCCAGCTGACCTGGAACTCCCTATGTAGACCAGGTTGACCTGTCAACACAGAGATCCGCCTGCTTCTGCCTCCCAAGTGCTGGGATTAATGTCACCTGTCATCAACTCAGTTATCATTTCAGGAGGAAGGAAAAAAAGGTCAGAATCAGAGGTTTTTTGCTTTTTCTGTGTGTTCTGTTGTCTTGTTTTGTTTCGAGACAGGGTCTATCTGTAGCCCCAGCTAGCCTGCAATTCACTATGTACTGGCTAGCCTTGATCTCAGAGATTCATCTGACTCTGCTTGGATTAAAGGCATATGCCACCATGCCCCACTAAAGTCATAGATTCTCCTAGCTCAGCAGCATACAAATATTTGTGAATTATTTATTAAAGTCTAATATGGAATATATATAATGGTAACTTAGGACTATCTAGATCACTTGATTAATGCCAGGAGTTACCATGATGCATATATGTATATAAAGCCAGAACAGTGGTATATGTCTACAGTCCCAGATATTCAGAAGGCTGAAGCAGAAGAATCACTATTGCCCAGGAGCTCAAAGCTAGCCCAAACAACAAAGTAAGACTCCTATCTAAAAGGGGAGCAGGGCGAGGAGGATGAGAGAAGGGAAAGAGGAAGGGAAGGGTAAGACTTAAATATGAAGCGGGGAGGATTTTGATTGAGGAATCAATTTCTATGAAAATGGGAGATATAGTATTTAATATCAGGGCACTCTTGGAAAATCTAGGGTATATCAATAAAATATAAGCTGGTGTTTTTTAAATATTACGCTAGAGGCATAAGCAAATCTCAGAAACAACAAAGACCTAAGAGGGGTTAAACAATAAGCACTGCTACAGAAATAAAACACTGGCTGTCTTTTTGTCAAACCTAACTAAACTACACAGGGTAAGGGACCCTACCAATCTGAATTAACCAGATGTTTTCTCATTAACTTCTTTCTGGTTTGGTAGAAACTCACCCACAGTCAATCTAGTGACATTCCAGAACTGATTTAGAGATTCAGAGACAAGAAAAAAGGTTTAAGTCCCATCAAAATAAAATCTTTCAAAGTGATATACCTAAATAAAACAAAAAAAGGTATGTATCATTGAAAGGGTAGTAAAAGAGCATATTAAGCAGTAGTGATCTCAAACAGATCTCTGTTAGCTAAATGCTAACAAAATAAAGTTAACCAAAAAAAAAAAAAAAAAAAAAAGCTAGGCATAATGATGCCCGCTTTTAGTCCCAGAACTTGGGAGGCAGAGACAGGCAGATCTCTGTGAGTTCAAGGCCAGCCTGGTCTACATAGTGAGTTCCAAGCCAGCAGGGACTATTGGGAAACCCTGTCTCATAAAGATCAAAATTAATAAATTAATTAAAATAATGTACATTGATATTCACTTTTTTCTTTTTTTCCTTGACCCATATACATAGTATGGCCATTGGAATAGTTTGGAGAGAAATAAGTAAGCAAGGCTATTTCCTTCCTTTAAATTGCAAGGTGTTTTGTCTTTAAAGAAAAAAAAAAACACAATATTAGTATTCTGGGGGTTACTAGATGAGTAAAAAAAGTGTTAGTATGAAATAAAAGCATTTTCCTAGAAATAAATATAGTTCACATACTATACCTCCAGAGGATTCACCTCTATAAAATTACTATAGTGGATATAATCTGTGAGTATATATTCTCATATTTTTTCCACTTCTTATTCCAACTACTGAAACATAAATCATTTTTAGAAAAGGTATTTCACAGGGAGAAAGGATATTTTAACTAAAGAATAAAAATGTCATGTGGGTTTTTTGTTGTTGTTGTTGTTGTTGTTGTTTTTTGGTCCTGCAAAGCTTTTTGAAAAATATCAGTTTCTACCTAACTGTATCTTGAATTCTGGATCTTTAATTAGTTTTGGTAGTAACCATGAGAGACTTTACAATTGTCAATACGAAAAAGAACTTAATTAAATGAACCCATTTTTTAAATTCTTTAAATAGTCAAAGTGATCTTTCTGAAACATCAATCAGATTGCTTTATTTTCCGTTGTCTTCTGTGAATCTTCATGGTCAGGAGACAAAATCTAGTCTAAAATGAGTGGCTTTGTTTTCCCCAGATTTGATGTGTGTGTTGGTGGACTCATGTGTACAGGAGGGAGGGGGCAGTTTGCACTCACCTGTGTAAGCATATATGAAGGTCAGAGGTTGATATCAAGTGTCTTCCTCAATATGTTTTTTCTTTTGAGATGGTCTCACTATGTAGCCCCCGCTGGCCTGGAACTTGCTATGTAGACCACACTAGCCTCTCACTCACAGAGATCTGCCCACTTCTGTCTCCCAAGTGCTGAGATTAAAGGCACACAGTACCATGCCCAGCTCTCCATCTTACTTTTGAGACGAGGTCTCTGACACTAGAGATCATCATTTCAGCTGGACTGATTGGCCAGCAAGCCACAAGATTCTCCTGTCTCCAAACCTCTCTAGCACTATGGTTTCAGGGACAAGCCACTACACTCATATTTTACATAGGTGCTGAGATCCAAACTCAGGTCCTCAGGCCTGTGCAACAACCACTATACCCACTGAGATGCTTTCCCAAAGTCACACTTGAAATCAAATCACCCTCTTAAGGGCTATCATATCAGTTTGCAAAATGTGAACTGTAAATTC